AAGAAAATGGCGATGTCTTAAAATTTACATGCAACACGTTATATCCTCTTTCTTGTGATAACATCAGAAGCATCCATACAGAGAATGTTTTTATCACAGCAACTTTGTACTGCAGCCATAAAATGAATAAATAACTGGGGCAGTGGAAAAGAAATGCAGTTTCTGTCTTTGGGAAGTGGCTACAAACAGGCACAATTTTAATGTTAAGAAGCTTAGGATAGCAAAGTGAGGAAGAAACAGCCATCTGGGAGAGCAGATGTTTATAGGCTGCTGTAAAAGCTGCTTTGAAGGAATTGTTTTGATGAAATCAAGCAATTACAGGGTTATTTTATGTTAAAATTCTAACAATGCCCAACTTGTGTTTAACTTCTCTTCCCCTCTGAGAATTCGATTAAATTCAGATTAGTTTATCATCATGAAAAAGAATAACTAATTCTTTATTCCTTCACTGCTGAGAGAACTCTGAACCCATTGTGTTAGGGTAACGCAGTTATTTCTAATGGTGTCAGATTTCAAATCTTAATAATAGCATGTTTCCCTCAGAACATTTGAGAAATGTGTTTTTCCGTGAATGCTAATTAGTGCTGTAGTCAGTAATCACCACTAACTCCTACCCAGGAGTTGGAAGGTAGGTCCCAATGTTAAAATGTAAGGAAACCAGCACTGATGTAGTGCGTTTGTGGGCCTCCTTGAAAGTGGGGGCACCTCTTGGAGTGTCCCGTGGCTCACGGCGTGCACATCGCCGTGCAGCTTTCTGCTTTTGTTGTTGGGACAACCAGTGAACAAGTGGTCAGAAGGTTCCAGTCTCATACCAGGAGGTAAAACAACCATCCCTTTTTGCTAGCCTGCACTGCTGTCTGCTCGTTTGTTCCTCTGTTTCCTCACCCTTCTCTTCTGAAGCTGAGCTAAGGGTGGCTCCTCGTTTCGGGGACAGTTTCTCCTTTCGAGAATACAAGCCCAATTCTCAAGGAAGAACCCAACATTTGGTTAGAGCATGCGGTGTGTCCTAGAACTGGGAGAGAAAAGTGCTAAGTGTGGGAGGTTTTATCTTGTAGAGACTTGGTGCTGATGAAAGGGGAGACTTGATAGATTACTGTTGTTTCTTCTCAGTCAGGAACAGTTAAGAGGTTAGAAATACCTTCTGGATATCAGGTGGGAATTTTGTTCTCATGGCACTGGTCTCCCTTTTATTGTTTGTGTATAGTGCTTAGCACCTTTCGCCACTGCCTCCATGGCATTAGGTGCTTTACAGATAGAGGATGAAAAGAGAGATGCCCCCGTCCCAGAAGCTTACAGCTGAAATGTGAGGCAGTGAACGCCGACAGGAAGAAAGCATGGTGAGACCTCTGCTTCGGTGTGAAATTGCAGGTCGTGGATTGCGTTTTCCAGCTGTATGTCATGGCAGCAGCACCAAGGGAGAGTGCAGTGTAGGAATCTGTCCCCTCCGCAGTCACAGCTCTGGTGTTGCACCCCTGCACTGTGAGTCTGATGTGTTGGATGGCTGTCACTGCGGCACAGAGAACAGAGTCAGGCTGGTTTTCAGCACTGCCGCCTCTTCTGTCTGTCAGCAGCTTGATCACAGAATCACAGAATGGTTTGGGTTGGAAGGGACCTCAAAAATCATCCAGTTCCAACCCCCCTGCCAGGGGCAGGGACACCCTCCACTACACCAGGTTGCCCAAAGCCTCATCCAACCTGGCCTTGAACACTTCCAGGGATGGGGCAGTGACAACTTCTCTGGGCAACCTGTCCCAGTGCCTCACCACCATCCCAGTGAAAAATTTCTTCCTTAGATCTCATCAAAATCTGCCCTCTTTCAGTTTAAATCCATTGCCCCTTGTCTTATAACTACATGCCCTTGTAAAAAGCCCCTCTCCAGCTTTGCTGTAGCCCCTTTAGGTACTGGAAGGCTGCAATAAGATCACCCCGGAGCCTTCTCTTCTCCAGGCTGAACAGCCCCAACTCTTGCGGAGAAGGGATTTGGAGAAGTACTGAGACGACTCAATATGAGTTAGCTGCAGGAAGTCTCGGTTATTGCGCAGTTCTTATTGCTTATATAGACAGTATTTGCCAATAATCCTGAGACCACACCTTTTCTACACCATTATTGGATGATACATACGCTTGTCATATTTAACAGCCTATTTCAAACAGATACCCACTTGGCGAAGCTCTGCCCTAAGCAAGCACTACTCCCTTATCATACAGCATAGTTTTCTTATCCTGTACTTCAAGGGCGTTCTGCCCTTGAGGCCTGACTTTTGAGCTCCAGTCCTTACTTACGCAGGGTTTTCTTCGTGCAGTCTCTTTAAAGATCCACGCTCCAACAAACTCTCTCAGCCTGTCTCCATAGCAGAGGTGCTCCAGCCCTCTGATCATCTTCGTGGCCTCTTCTGGACCTGCTCCCGCAGCTGATCAGCTGGTTCTGAACTGGAAGAAGGCTATTCAGGGACATGCTCTTTGTCATTTATAAGCCCCGAGCAATTTTTATTAGGCTGGCTTACCATGGAGTTCTATTGGTAAAGCTTTGGAAGATCTTGTAAGCCAACATGTGATTATTACACACTGGTAGTTGCCTCAGCCACGTATTAATGATACTGGGATCTGTGCTCGTTCTGTGCTTGTTAGCAGGAGGTCACAAAGGAGCAGTATTGAGTAAAGAAATCATTATTCTAGAGCATAATTTTGATGGTTTAGGGCAGAAATGAGCTATAGGCAAGCAGTCATGTCCTGTGTTGAGAAACTCCCTGTTTGTCTCATTGCCAGTGGATATAGTGATTGACTTCAGAAGGAGGCCAGATTTGTGTCATCTCTGTAGCCTCCATGGGCATGTGAACTCATGGCCACAGACAGAGAATAATGCTCCTATTAGTTCTATACCTGAAACTGAGGTCAGGGAATATAGATACGGGTTTAGATGGAGACAGCAGTTATACTGGAGTTAAGAATTGTTTAGAAAAGTGAAGACTTTACAAAGACAGATCCTTAGCGGAGCCACAGAACACAAAAAAGCAAACCACCAAATATCTACCTTTAGTGCTGGCAAACAATTTTGTTATTAATTTAAAAAAAAAAAATTATCTTAGGCAATGAAATTCATTCGGATTTTGTTTCATTGCTGTAGTTATGAAAATTAGATAACTATACTGATGTGGAGAATGATAGGACTATGAGATAGTTGCTTGATGAATACATAATATTTTTGCTACACGATATTGCCAGCTAAATGTTGTATAAAGTAATAATATTTCACATTGTACAGGTAACTACTGCTGCCATGAAGTGGTTCCAGATTCAGTCAATGATATCTTATGATGTCTGCTATGAATTCCTGAATAGCATGACAAGAATCTGCAGAAGATGGTTTCATTGAGCATGAAATTGTCAGATATCTTTTTACTTGACAGCATTCATGTGTGTCTATTGCACATCCCTAGAGCTTACAGACCTTTCCCACTTAGAGATCTTCACCATTGCCTATTAGTTGCACATTTTGATTTTATGAAAATCTGTATCCTGGTTATAGAACTAAATTAAAATGCCTGTATATTGTTCTAATTAAATATTGCTTGATAGCATATGTTGATCTCCATATTGCTTGCTTTGTAAAGATAAAAGCAGAATCCCCAAAGTCATGTGTTCTTCAGCTGAAGATAAATATCTACTTATATGCAACTAAATTGCAGTGAGTAAATGAAAATCGAAGCTATTATTACTTGTTTGACTTCCTAGCTTCTCCAGACTTTTGTTGCAACTTTTCTGAATTATCTCATAGAATCATAGAATCATAGAATGGTTAGGGCTGGAAGGGACCTTCAAAGGTCATCTAGTCCAACCCCCCTGCAAGGAACAGGGATATCTCCAACTAGATCAGGTTGCTCAGGGCCTTGTCCAACCTGGCCTTGAACGTCTCCAGGGATGGAGCATCCACCACCTCTCTGGGCAACCTGTTCCAGTGTTCTACCACTCTCATGGTAAAAAATTTTTTCCTAATATCCAACCTGAACCTACCTCCCTCTATTTTAAAACCGTTACCCCTTGTCCTATCATAACTGGCCCTCCTGAACAGCCTCTCCCCATCTTTCCTGTAGGCCCCCTTGAGGTACTGGAAGACCGCTATAAGGTCACCCCGGAGCCTCCTCTTCTCCAGGCTGAACAGCCCCAACTCTTTCAGCCTGTCCTCATAGGAAAGGTGCTCCAGCCCTCTTATCATCTTCGTGGCCCTCCTCTGGACCCTCTCCAACTGGTCCATGTCCTTCTTATGTTGGGGACTCCAGAACTGGACGCAGTACTCCAAGTGAGGTCTCACGAGGGCAGAGTAGAGGGGGAGAATCACCTCCCTCGACCTGCTGGCCACGCTCCTCTTGATGCAGCCCAGGACGCGGTTGGCCTTCTGGGCCGCAAGAGCACATTGCCGGCTCATATTGAGCTTCTCGTCCACCATATTGAGCTTCTCGTCCACCAAATCCATCTCATAAAACTTCGTTAAAAAAAGAAATAAATCCTAGTGGTTCCTGTTCAACTGCGTAACCTAGATTTCCGCTCTCAGAGTATTTTCTGAATATGAATGACCTTTCAAGTGACTAGTGAACCTATTCTTCATTTGAGTAAAGAGCAACATACATGTTTGAACAAGCATAGTGTGCATGTGTTTTATATGTTAAAAAAAAATATATATAAAACCAACACATGTCACAACTACATATATAGAATACACCTTGTATATATAAAATACTTATATATTTTGCACGTGTAAATATATTATTTTTACAAATTCAAATACAGGACCTGCTTAAGGTCAAACTCTCCATCAAATCAGGCTCTCTGTGATTCCTTAGGTCTCACAAGGAGTCAGTATCAGACCAAGTGTAGAATTTGGCATCCTGAGCCATAGTCCTCCAAGTAGTTATGAGCTGGGAGCCTCCGTCCATCACACACAAGCCTCCAGACTTGCTTATTAATCTGAGACTTTTTTTTTAAATTTTCATGTTGCCTTTCAGAGAACAATGCGAGGACCTTCGTGTACAGCAGATGAAGAAGCATCAGAAGGAACTGTGTGAAGACTGGCTGGCCCAGCTAGCTCTGAAGGAGGAACTGAAAGAGCAGCAGAAGAAGGAGGAGCAGATGTTTGCAGAGCTTTGGGAAGAGGATAGGCTGGCTAAGGAAAAGCGAGAGGCGAGGGAGATGCAGAAGTCAGCGGAACAGAATCGTGAAGTCCTGAACGGGCTTGGTGCCCAGGTAGCGGTGCTCAGCGCTCGCAAAGAGGAGGCCAAGCGGCTGAAGGAAGAAGAGGCTCGATTGCTGGTAATTTCCACATCGTTCTCTATTTAGGCTTCTCTATAGGGCCCTCCTAACGATGGACTTACTAGATGTTTAGATTAACCCACACCTGATTTGTATCTTCACTGATTCCATTAGTATCTGAGACTGTCCTATGATGATAAGCCTCTTTTCCAGAGCTGTGGCAAATGCGTTCTTGTTTACAGCGGGAAATACATCTTTTGAAACTTAGCACGTAAAGGGTTTCGGCATTCAGAGCTTCTCAGAGCGTTTGTGGGAAGTGGAAATGGTTTGAAGCTTTTGCCGGATAGCTTTGCAACTTTCTAATTTCCAGTCTCCTGTGGGATGGCTAGTGAGTGTTGTGTCCCAGCTGTAATGCATAACACCAGATCTCAGATCATGACATGTGTTTAGTCATCATGGTAAGTGCACTGGGAGGAAGCAGCAAGAGTGTGCTGCTCCCAGAAGGGAAGGCGAGCCAGGAGCCGAGGTCCTCCCCAATAAAAGTCCTGCGGTACCTGAAGGAATGGAGCAGAGCAGGTCTGCTGACAGTAACCGAGGTCATCTAACAGTCCAAACTGCTCGGCAGGCCTGTAGAATGAAGTTCAAGATGAAGCCAGCAAGTCAAGTCAGCAGGTCTGGATCAGGATCCACCTCAGGCATCAGCATACCTGCAGCATAGCTCATGCAGACACCAGGGGTGAGAGACTGAGCCTAACTGCAGCTCCCAAGCGACTCCTCTCAGCCCTTTCTCACACTGCTCTTTCCCAGCTCTCTGATCCAAGGCTCCCGTCAGGGCTGGCTGCGAGCACGGGCAGCCAAGCCCTGGCAGAGAGGTTGCAGAGCCTGTTGTTGCACCCAGGGCCCCGACACATACACGAGGAGACACATCTATATGAAAAATTCCAACTGCTTATGCCCCAGCTGACTGAATTTCAGAATCTACATTCCCTTTTTTTTTATTTAAAAACAAGTTAGCAAGCAGTGCCTAAGTGCTCTCAGTGCTGGCTGCTGTTGGGCGTCATGTCACAGGAGGCATTTGGCTACTTTGGCCCAGCTATTTGGCCACTATCTTCTTGTTTCCTCATCTCTCCAGAGTGCAAGCTTGCTGTAGTTGTGCTGGCTTTAGTGGAGCTTGCTAGTTCACAGTGTTCTGTGTTGACTTTGTGAGTTCTGGGAGACTATCTACTTCAGGCTCAGTCTTCATTTTGAAGCTATTTACATGTAGCAATTGAATGATCAGTCAGGGTACTCTGTTAGGCACTGGAAGCTGACGTTGGCAAGATATGTACTCCACTACCTTTTAAAAATAATGACAATAATGAATCTAAACCTCTGAAAATCCTGGCTGTAAAACAGTGGAGCCCTTATTCCTTGCTAGACTGTAATGTTTCATTTATTTAAATACATGCAGAATAAAATAATTTTCTTGTAACAACTTTTAATGCACTGCCAAACCTCCTAGGCAAAGAACACTTCTACTTAACTGGCCTTTTCAGAAAAATGCTATTAGAATAGAAGACTTTGTAGCTTCCCCTGAAGACAGCTGCCTTGAGCTCCATCAAGGGGATAAATTTCTGGTAGAGTGGTTTAGTCTCTGAGAAACAGCTTACTTCAAAGTGTCCATAAAGGAGAGTTTCTGTATTGAAATGGGGTGTAACCTTACGTCTGCTAGAGATGCAGTGCTTCGAAATCCAGCACAGACACGGGATGTATAATAGATGGAGAAACAGGAGGAAGATACAGATCATATGTGCTGCAATGATACCGATTTCTCTAAAGAGATGACTCTGTCTACTGGTGTGAAATATTTGGAGTCCATCAGGCATTCCAGTATTTTGGTATTGAAGTGCATGTGATAATTAAAGAGAAAAATTCTGAATTACAGTGAGTAATATGCGAACATGTTAGTGTTTCAACAGGTCTAATGGATGACCCTAATTCTCTAATGTTAGTGAGAAATTTATCTTTCCTCTTCAATGTTCCAATTAAACTAATTCTAACCATCACTTAGTTGTAAGTTATGCAATGATTTTACAAGCTGGATATTTTTACCATTGTAGGAAGAACAGCAGCAACTGCTTAAGCTAGAAAATGAACAACTTCAGATGGAGAAACTACAGAAACAGAAGGAATGCAGGGATATGTTGCTCAGTGCAGCACAGGACAAGAAAAATCGTCTTAATGAAGAAAAACAAGGTGAACTTGCCCTAGAGATGAAGATCTTAGATAAATCTCTTCAAGAACCCCAGGAAGACATTGAGGAGAAAACAAAAAGAAAAGTAAGAGCTAGATGTGTTTGTTGTCAAGTTGTGGGGCAATACCTCATTTAGACTGATTTTTGTGGCCCTTAGTGCACATCGCATAGTGTAAATGAAACCAGACACAAGCACTCTGAAGAAGTTGGTTCTGTTGTTGCATAGCCTGTTGCCTCTCCTCCTGTCAGTGCTCTACTTCTCTGAAGAAGCCCATTATCTGTTAAAACCACAGTGAGTACTTTGAAGTGTGCTTTATAATCAGAAAGGCTACCAGGCTGGACAAAAGTAGGGAGCTCTCGGGAAATCGTGGAATCTTGTCCCTCTGTGCTGACTTCATTGTGTATAAATCACCTGAGCTTTTTCATCCTTATACTGCATGGATGTAATGGAGGTTAGAAAAATATTTTTTTGTTTCATGGACCTGATTTATGAAATATTTGTAACTGCAGAGGAAAGTACATGTTTAACTTACTCTAATTCATTAATACTAAGAAACAGGTTTAGATCTTTAATAGCTGGGTATCTAGAGGCAAAACCTCACGTAAATATCCTGGAGGTGCCATGAAATGATGGATGTGTCTGTCACTTCCTAAATTTAAAACAAGTAGATTATCCAACTTCAAGGTGAAAATGGGTCTCAAGATAGCTTCAAGAGCAGCATTCATTACTCTGTTCAAGGTATGTAGAAGCTCACGTAGGCCAGGAAAGTTGTAGAAGCTCAAAGCTCACTGTTAGACCTTGGCGAAAAAAATGGAGGCGGTGATGTTTATTATTATTTATTATTACATGTATAGTTCCCAAGGCTTCTAATGCAGGTGGGGGTGAAGTAGTTTGGTAAGGTGTGGAAAGTCTTTGTAAAATGTCTGTGATGTAGGCAGCTGAGCTGCTATGGGGGAAGGGATCACTCTGTATTGTTCTGCTCTTGTGCTGTAGTCCAGGCACTGCCAACTGGCCAGGAAGAAGATTCTGTACAGCTCTTTCCCGTGACAGGGTTTGGGATGGAGTTCTAGGCTCCCAGTTGCCACGTTGTCTGCCAACCACCACTTCACGTTTTGAAAGGCTGTTTTGAACTCCTTTACTCAGATCCGCAAATGTCCGTGTGTTTGCAGCAA